CACCTTCCACTGTCAAAGTGGTCACGTTTATATCCCGCCTTTCTTTCGAGGAGTTCAGAACAGCTCTTCTGCTTGTTATGTCCTGATAGCGACCTCATAAAGTAGCCTTGGCTGAGAGCTGGTGACTAGCCCAGGATATTTCAGTGAACTTCACGGTAGAGTGGGGATTTGAACCTGGGTATCCTGGGTCCTCCTAACCTAAAACTAACCACAACATCACCCTGCCTTGCAGCTTCAGTGGATATACAGAGATGGTCCCTTCTCTCCCCCACCCCACAGCAAGGGACTGGAGGTGACACTGTTCTTTTTGCCTGGAACACTAGTTTTGGGTGGCCCAGGCTAGCCCGATCTCAGAAGCTAAGCAGAGCTGGCCATGGATGGGAGACTGCCAGGGAAGGCCAGGGTTGCTACAGAGAGGCAGGCAATGGCAAACCATCTCTGTCTGTCTCTTGCCTTGACAACCCAACAAGGTTGCCATAAGTTGCCCTGACCTGGCACACCCAGGCAAGCCTGATCCTCTCAGACCTTGGAAGCTAAGCAGGCCAACCCTGGCAAGTACTTGGATGGGGGACCTCCAAGGAATAATGGAGGCAAAGGCAGGCTATCAAGCCACTTCTCTGAACGTCCTCCATGCCCCAATAGGAGTCGCCAGAGGTCGCCATGACTTCCCGGCACGGGCACACACACACAAATGCAAACCCCCCTCCCCAAAGGTTGCCATAAGTTGATGGCACTTTCCTCTCCCACCTCTACTTTTGGAGTCTGGAAAAAGTTTCTCTCCAGACCAGAGTGGCATAGGCTCCAGCAGTCCTGATTTCCTGCAGGTTCTTCTTAGAACACTATTAAATCACCAACCCCTTTTTTTGGGGGGGAGGGGCGGATTGTTAATGTGTTGTACACAAACACACCAGCCCACTTGTGAACCCTGAATTTACATCGCAGCTGCAGAATTCCAGTGGGCAGCTCTAGGACCTCTCAGTACCCTGCACACTTTACTTTTGTCTCCCATGCTAATGAGCCCACACACAGAAGAAATCCTGCCTATCTGTTCCATTTCACACAGTATACAGGTCACCAAATCTGGGTTACTTTGTCAAGTGATCTAGCGCATGGCCCGTTCATACAAATGCCATTTTTTGTTGCATTTGCATAGCCTTTACTTTTAACATAATTGTCGCTCACTTTTCTCCCCAGTGGGCACACAAAGCAGCTTACAGCATTTCCTCCCCCTTCTTCATTTTATCCTCTCAACAACAGCCCTGTGGGGTAGGTTGCGCTCAATGCTCCCTCTAAGCTGTGGAGTCATGTGAGCAAAAATTCTGCTTTGTGAGCTACTGACATTAAAGTTGTGAGTGAGCGATTTGGCTACTGCATAAATTAGTTTGCTCTGGGGCCATCTTTCCTGAGCTAAGACAAAAATGTGTGAGCCGGAGGGGAAAAAACAGTGAGCTAGCTCACACTAACGCAGCTTAGAGGGAACACTGGTTGCGCTGAGAGCAAGTGGCAGAAATGCAGAATGGCGATTCAACCTTGGGTCTCCGAAATCTTAGTGCAACCCTCTAATCACTGGCTCTCTCTTCCAAGCCTACCTGGAGAGCTAGCAACTTGCTTTTATTTTCAAAGTGAAATCAGAGATCCTATTCTCATTTACCTCATTTACACCCTGCCTTTCTCCCCAACAGGGGCTCCAAAGCTGCTTACATCCTTCTCTTCTCACAACAACCTTGTGAGGTAGGTTAGGCTGAAACAGTGTGACTGGCTCAAGGTCACCCAGCAAGCTTTCCTGGTACAGTGGGGATTCAAATCTGGGTCTCCAAGATCTTAGTGCAGTAATCCAACCTCTACAACCCACTGGGCTCCAGTCCTGCCAAATGACACCGAGCCCTGGACAGGTCAAAAGCAGCTAATGGGAGAGAAGAGAGAAAGGAGGAGAATGAAGGGGAACCCCTTTCGCCATCTGTCCAGATGGCATGAAGGGAAAGAAACTACACAACAACAAGGGAAAGAAACCTCCAGGCAGTGAGCCGTGACTTACGCTCTAGTGCAGCAGGCTTAGTGATCCTGATGACAAATCCTGTGTTGTTGAAAGAGGACGGCTCAAAAGCGCAGGCCAAAGAGGTGCTGCCAAGAGCTGCCAAGACCACCAGGGCCATCAGCATCATCCCAGAATGCTCTCCAAAGCTACAGCCGGCAAGAGTCAAAGAGCTCGGGAGCAGCCGTCTACTGTCCTGGCGGCAAAGGGCTTCTTCTCCACCCCATGGCTCTGCTGTCCCCTGGCAGGACGTGACCCACTTCCTAGCTTTTCTGCATCCTCCTTAACCCATTCATAACCACTGCCTTGGTCATTATGTGATTTCAGTCTAGGGTTTTCCCACATCAGGTTTTTGCTCCAGCATGGCTTCTTAACTACGAGCGTTCCCCCTTCCCTTACACACAGTATCCTTTGCTTTCCTGATTTTTCTTTGCATTTTTCTGTGTCTTATGATCAGACCAGAGATGCCAGGGGCAGCTCAATTCTGAACTAAAATCTGTGCAAATTAGCATTTGGGGAGGTATTTTTTGGGGGAAATGGTACACTTGAATTGATAAGCACTGTACAAGGTTTGAAGTATCATAGAATCATAGACTGTTAGAGTTGGAAGGGACCTTGCAGGTCATCTAGTCCAACCCCCTGGACCACCTTTTTTGTACCTAAGTGTAGGACTTTGCACTTATCTGTATTGAAATTCATTTTATTGGCCTCATCCCACTGTTCCAGCCTATCTAGATCATTTTGAATCCTGACTCTGTCTTCTTTAGAATTAGCAATCCCACCCAGCTTCGTGTCATCTGCAAATTTGATAAGCATGCCCTCTATGTCTTCCTCCAGGTCATTTATAAAAACATTGAACAACACCGGGCCTAGGACCGAGCCTTGCAGCACTCAACTCGAGACTTCCCTCCACATAGATGCAGAGCCATTTACAAGCACTCGTTGGGTACGATTTTTCAACCAACCATGAATCCATCCAACAGTTGCACCATCCAGCCTACACTTAACCAGGTTATCCTCAAGGATATCAGGGGAAACTTTGTCAAATTCTTTACTGAAATCTAGATACACTATATCCACAGCATTGCCAGAGTCAGAGTAAATTGGGGGAAAGGATTGGATCCAGTTAGGCATGGCATTATTATTTATTAAAAGTTTCCTACCCTACCTCATTGCTTCACTCAAAATAATATCTATCATTGCAAGGGAGACTCAACTTAATCCCTTTTATAGTCATATGCAGAATTCTGGGTGCAAATACAGGGTAGAAATGTCTTAAACAAACATATCAATATATCTAATTCTCAACATGTCCAAATCTGTGGATACTTAAACCTAGAGACTGGAACCATGAACAGATATGACAATTTTTTTCTACAAACCTGAAAAAACCTCAGGTTTGCAGAAACATTGAAATCCTGACAAAAATGGGGGGTTAGCACCCCAAAAATAATAGAAGCAGCACCTGTAGCTTTAAAAACATTAATGCCGTCAGTGGCAACTGCTAGGCAACCACAACAGTGTTGTCAACCTTCAAGCCTTAGTTTTTGTCAGTAAGGGGAGGGGGTAGGGCCCTTTTCAGAGCTGTTTATATTTTTGAGGTCCTGGTAGCAACCACCAGGTGACTTGCTATCACTAACTTGCATGATTCACCCAGGCCCAACTGCTTGCTACTGTTCAACAGCAGCCATCCCATGAATGCCAGTGTGGTGTAATGGTTAGAGTTTCAAGTTAGAATGTGGGAAACATGGATTCAAATAATCACTCTGCAGTGGAAGCTCACTGAGTGACTTTGGAGCAGTTACACATTAGCGTAACTTACTTCACGAGGTTGTTGTGAGGATAAAATGGAGGAGGAGAATGATGCAGGCTACATTGGGTCTCCTCTTGTGGAGAAAGGCAGGGTGTAAAGGAAGTAGATAACTAAATTATAGTTGTGTTCTCTAATGAAGGATGAGTCATTCTTAGCTACTCCAAATATAACCATCTGGGGTTGAAAGGTTGAAGAGTGGTTCCCATTTTAATGAAACAATTGTTTGCCCCAACTATGAGGAACTTAAGGATTCCTGTGCTAGACCATGTAGATTGCCTAACAATAATACTAATTAAAAAGTCCAGTTTGGAAAAACCAAGAATTTCAAACCCGCCATTAAAAGGGATGCTGACCCTTTTCATTCCAAAAAAAGAATGGTGGTAATCTCTTCCGGCCATCACTGGCCTCTTGACTATTAACGCACCCTCAAGTTTCATGTTTTCCTTGCTGTGTGTTTATAAATGTGACAAACCTTCCTGTGGGACATTCCGTTCTTGCGCGTGTCCAGCGTGTGAGAGCCCAAAAAAGAATCCAATCCCATTCATATTGTTTTCTGCTACCATATCCTGAGGTAAAAAGGTGAATGGCCTCTGATAACCCTTCCTTGGAGGTCCTCTCTGCCACCAGCCTAGCAAGAATCTCTGGAGCTATTGCTGGATTTTAACAAGGAGAAAAGTGATTTAAGATTTGAGTCCCAATTTGGTGAGTCTTTCTTTGTTGTTGTTGGATCATGTGAACTGGACCTTCACAATCTAATGATAGATCTTGAATGTTCATAGTGATTCAGCACGGTCGTTTGGAGACTTGGACCTCAGGGATCAGAGATCTGTGTCTGTCACAAGCTTGCTTAGGGTTACTAACATACAGATAGGAGCTGGAGTTCTTCCAGAATTACAACTGATCTCCAGACTTCAGAGATCAATTCCCCAGGAAAAAATGGCTGTTTTGGAGGGTGGACTCCATGGCATCACATCCCTGCTAAGCACCCTCCCCCCCTCCCCAGGCTCTGGATCCAAATCTCCAGGAATTTCCTAACTTGCAGTTGGCAACTCTAGATTTACCCTATAGCAGCAATCCCTAGTATGGTGGCAGTAGCACCCACTATTGGGATTCCTGGTGCCAATTTGCTTTCTCCCCCAAAGGAAACAGCCAGTCCTGGCTTTCATCTGCCTCATCAGAGCAGGAGGGGCTTCAGAAAATCCCCATGGCAGTATTCCCTCTAAGCTGAGTTAGTGTGAGCTAGCTCACAGTTTTTTAACCTCCAGCTCACAGATTTTTGTCTTAGTTCAGAATGGCTCCAGGGCCAATTCTGCACCAATGCTTTGCTCCCCTT